ATTGAGACTATTCCCCTCATAACACGGTACTTTCGGGTTCGCATAACACGGTTTAAGAATTGAGGAAAGTTTTAATAAAATAAATATAGTAAAACTTATGAAAAGCAAACTTTATTTAATCTAAAATTAGTAAATTCACCGTACAATAGCTCCATAAATATGATGAAACTAGTGCAAAAGATAACTAATTTGATATTTATTATTCGAGCGCATAATTCTATCGAAAAAAAGTTCGAGAATTATCCGAAATATTAAATAATTCTTAAGCGATTATTCAAATAAAATGAGCATAAAAGTTTAATAAAGATTACTTTACATGTATTTGCTAAAAGCAAGTAATCGCAAATATAATTGTTTCTGCAAAAAATACTGCACGGACTTGGAGGCAGTATAGAAAAATGCTCAAAGGATGTACATATCTTGCAAAAAAAGTATCATGTTGGATAGTACTTACTTGTTAATTATGACGAACAAAAATCATATAATTCAAGTAATGTATATTACATTTTTAAAAAAATGAATAAATGTAACAATATACATCATAAAATCATATGTATCTTTTTGTACTTGTTGTTTGTCCCGTATAACACAGATTCGCATAACACGCTAGTTTTCTGGAACGTAACTACCGTGTTGTTCAGGGGTTACCTGTATCTCTGTATTATTTTAGTATCTTAATTATTTGTTTTATTTTATATATTAATTTTTTATGCGGTCTGAATATGACACAATGATATAAGAAGAATGAAATTTTGCCATTATGGTAATGCTATCATTGATTAAAAATGCTATTTGGATTAAAAATTAAAATCAAAATTTTCAAGAATAAAAAGAAAGAAAATTATTTGCGTTATGAAATTCAATAAGAAATAAGATCAAAGAATCAGTATTGAGTTTCTTTAATTAACAATATCAATTTTTGTAAATTTTAATTTATTTTGTTTTGTTTTAGTTTTATTTTATTTTGTTCCTTTAGAAGGACAATAAATTTCGAATAATGATGTGATCAATTTTGTTAGGAATTGTCAGGTGTCTGTTATTAGTCAAATCTATTTTTGTCTAGTCTAAATATTAATTAAACCAAAATAAGACCGATTATCTGTTTTTTTGAAATCTGAGAAAAGGGCATCTAATGTAGTTTGAATTCTTTTGAGTTCTTTTAGAAGTTCCTAGGTGAGTGCGAAGTACGTATTACACCCCGTCTTGCTTTTTCAAATTCTATTCAAATTTGGATCATTTTCAACAAATTGATTCTTAATTTCAATCATAGTAGTCACAATTCTATTTGCAAACAAATGTTAACATTGATAATTATGTTATCTTCTTCTAAATCACAACTATCAATATTTTTCTTTCTTGTTCATTTAATCGCTTCAGATTATCATTAGAAAGATTGGCTGCTGTTGTTTAGCCTATTTTTCATCATCATTCTCATTTACTACATTTAAGTATAGTGACCAATGTGACCATACGTCCCGGATTGACTGGGACAGTCCCGATTTTCCGCCTTGCGTCCCGGATTTTTTAAAAGCAATATTTGTCCCGAATTTAGGTGTTTTGTCTCGGATTGTCCCGGATTTTTAAAAATGTTTTGATTGCCAATATTTTTTTTGTATGAAAATGAAAAATATTTACGTTGCTATTTGTGGGCCTATTCGAGTAATTTTTATGTGACGTTTTTACTATCGTTTAATTCTGATCTGCGTAAAAAACATGTTGTTGTTAATAAGAATAAGATTTCAAAATTACAGAAAAACAAATCTTTAATTTTAAAAGCTGGCTCCGACCAGGCTGTCGTCACTGACCACCACACCGCATAGTAAAGTTTAGATATGTATGAAGATCGATATTCAGCGGTTATCATATTATATGGTCTTACCTCACACGATCGTGTAATGACTGTAATGTGTAGATAATGTTGCTTTTGGTCAGTGATCTGAGAGGTCTTTGTTCTATTTAGTACATATTTTAACTGCATTTACTTTAGTGTTCGTTGCCGGTATAATATTGTAGGAAAAGTACGGACAAAATGACATGGTGATGCTTTGTTTTTTAATGGATTTATTTACTTGATAATAAAATCAGTTACAATCATATTAGGAATCATACTATTTTTTAAGAAAAAATGCAACTAATTACTAAAAATATTTTGTTCATATAGCATGAACAAAATGACATAAAACGAGGTAAGAACATACCGAGATACTAAAATTGAAGAAGGCAAATAAATTGTTTGGTCGTCTTTGGGATATCAGTACATAACCCATGAGCCCAAAAGGAACAAATCAAACATCGTAACCTACATTCATCGGACTCAGAACGGGAAAAGAGATCTTTGCAATAGATGAATATTTCTTCTTTTTACTGGTGGATTCCTTGGTCTGTTTTTAGAAGTAGTTAGAGTAAAAGTCAAAAGTCAATCATATTTCACCAGGTTTCAATTTTTTTTGGCCTCAAATGATCTAACCTGTAGTTCTTGCTTGCTCTGATAATTGCAATA